GCACCGGCCGACTCCCCAAAGATGGTGATGTTGTCTGGGTCACCTCCAAAGGCCTTGATGTTCCTCTTCACCCAGGCAATGGCCATGTGCTGGTCCTTGAGCCCGTAGTTCCCTRWGGGACACAGAGCACTCAGCAGTGAGCAGGGGCACAGCAAAACCCACAARCGGGGCCCGTGGGACRGAGGATGAGCMGTGGTACCTGGCAGGTTCTCATCGCCGGTGCTCAGGAAGCCGAGCGGCCCCAGGCGGTAGTTGATGGTCACCACGATGACGTTTCCGCGCACGGCGATCTCCTCCCCATCGTACAGGTAATTGTCCAGGAAATTGGCTCCCTGGCTGCCTCCGACCAAGAAGGCACCACCATAAATATAAACCATCACGGGCAGCTTGGTGGAGACTGGAGGAGAGGGACAGGAGCACGGTGAGCCCCGACGGAGCGGGAGGGTGCTGCCCCTCCATCCCCTCCATCCCCTCCATCCCCTCCATCCCCTCCAACCCCTCCATCCCCTCCATCCCCTCCATCCCCTCCATCCCCTCCATCCCCTCCCTGAGCATCGTTTCACCTGAGCAGAAGCTGACTTGGTGCTCTGCAGGAGCCTGTGACCAAGACAGACCTTGCTCTGCAGAAATCATGCCCAGCAGCTGCCCACTATGGAACAGAACTGCTGAGAGAGGCTCCAGAGCAGTATATGCACAAAAGACAGGTGAGGATCTCCTGCCCAGGTCCCTGCCAAGCACATACCCTGTCTCCTCCCTTGAGGGACCCAGATGTTCAGGTACAGACAGTCCTCGCTCCCACGAACATCAGTCTGTGTCAGCTTCACCTGCAGGCAGCGATTTTTGAATTTCTTTGCCTTCAATGTTCCTGAGAGGAAAGAGGAATAATCAGTTAAGGATATCAAGTCCGTTCTCTGTTCCAAACTGTCACCCATCCTCTCCTCTCTGAGTCCAGTGCAGTGGCTGAGTGACAAAGTGGGAGACTTTTCCTGTCAACTATTTCTGGAGAGGCAAGGCATGGGGAGGGCAAGGGCAGGTGCCACGCTTCATTTTTGTTACTTTCTGGGGCTACTTAGGTTGCTTGGGGACATTTAAACATACACTCAGACCCTCCAGGACATGAAGATCTTTTTCTTGGCCCTGCTTAGTACATGAAAGCAGGCAACAACATCTTTGCCTTGCCAAAAACAGACTAAATGAGGGGGAGAAACAAAAATAAAACCTCAAACCAAATGCATTCAAAACCTGGATGTTACCTTCCCAGCCAGGATGAGGTTGGGGATCTTCAAACATCTTTGGTGGGGCAGCAAAGGGAATCCCTCTGAAGATGTCCACATAGCTCCCAAAGAGTCCCAGTTTCTTGCTCTCGCCTTCCACAAATCCTCCCTCGGTGAGCACCACACCCAGCTACAAGTGATACCATGGAGAAGAGAAAATCCATTTCTTGTTTGTTTCTAACTGGTTTCCCATTTTGCCAGCACCCACACCTTGCCCTGGGCAGGCCCCCACTCACACCCACTCCCATCCCACCCTCCCCATCCGTGCCCTCGGTCCCTGAGGAAAGCGCTCAGGTGCCGCTGGAGCTGTGCCTGTGCCCGTGCCCTGCAGGTGCCCTTTGGAGCACACAGGCAGCAGCAATTCCCCCACATCCCAGAGAGAAATGGCAGAAAGAGGGAACCTTCAGCCTTGGGCACAAACCCAGCCAGACCTGACACAGAACTGGCAGGGAAAATGCTGCTGAGAGCCTTTGCCATGTTCAGGGCAYGAGAACAGCCTGCCTGGGCTGCCAGCTCTGCAGGGCCTCTGCCAGGGGCTCAGGAGCAGATGGAACTGGAGTTTTCTCTTTGAGCAGGAAGAGGCAAAATGTCTTGCCCAGCCCTGGGCAGGGCTTTGTACTTACGGTGGCAGCCCAGGTTACCCCGAGGTAGGAGCAGAGGGCCAAGGCCAGGATGTGCCAGCGAGCCATGGTGAGGGCAGCCCTGAGGGGACAGTCCCAGCRGGAGGGCTGTGCTTATATAGCCAGGGCTGCAGGAGTGTGCCAATGGCACGGGCCAGGCTTGGCTGGGAGCTGCAGCAGGGCACCTCCAGAGCCTCGTCCTTCAGCAGCCTGAGGCCAATCCATGGCTGAGGCAGATGGGCATGGCCGTGTGAGAGCCCTGCAGGTGCTGCTCACGTGGGCTGGAGGCCAAACCCAGGGAAATCACTCAGTCTAAGAAAATTCCAGAGAAATAAAAACTATTGAAGTCTTGAGGAGCCTCATCCTAGTGCAGGAGGCTGAAATCATATGAAGCCATGCAGTGGAGCTAATGGTCAGCAACTTATGAGAAACCTTGTGCTTGTAACAAACTGGAGCATATGAACAAGACTCAAAATGACCAACAGCCTTAAAGATGATTCCATCCCATAGCAGCCAGACTGCTCATTGATTTCTCACATAGTCCAGAATTTCTGTCTCCACTTCATTGTCATTCCCATGCAAAGGCTTCAAGTTGTCTTCTTCCTCACATCCCTGTAGGCTCATGCCAACTGCTCTTTGTCATTTCCACTGCTTGTTTTGTTGGTCAATGAGAGAGAAGGAAATGGACAGTACAAACAATAACTTTGAAATTTATCTCTAACAGAAGACTCAGCTGACACTGTGCAATACCTTTCCACGTTCAATCACAGAACTGGTAGAACATCTGTTGAGAAGAGGGTAAGTCTCCTTCTTGGAAAATGTTGATGGATTCCTAAGAGGAGGAAGGAAAGGATTCATGTGCATTTTATGGTGTAATGGAAGCCTCCATGGGAAAATGCAAAAATTAAGTTTGTGCTCCAGATTTTATAAGATAAGGGATTCAGCTGGGTGATCGGTGGGTTGGGCAAACTTTGTGCTATCCTCCCTTGATCACACACTGGTACCATAAAAGACTCTCATGGCACCACCAAGGRAAGAAGATTTAAATTTAAAAATCCATTCAAAACTGCATGCAGTTGGACACTGACAGAGGAGATCTGCCCTGGCTGCCACAAAACCCTCCAGCACTTGGGGCTGATCTGGATGAAATGTGTTGGAGCGCTAAAGGTTTCACCCTCTGCATTTGCTCTCCTGGAGCTGCTGCAGTGAGCGGGGGGCAAATCAAGAGGAACTGCAGGTACCAACTCAATCTGGAAATTTCTTTTAATTTCAAAAGTGCCAGTGAAGGCCAACGGTGAGAAAATGAAAGATGTTTCTTGTGGGAGATCTCCCAGACTGTTCTTCTGGCAAAGCCAGTTGGGGCCAGGAGGGCACAGGAACACATGGCATCGATTGCTGCGAGCCCTGCCCTTGGCTCCAACCCTCTGGAAGCAGCAGGAGGCTCATTCCACTGCAGGAGCTCCCTGACCCCAGCCCTACAGCCCCTCTGCATGGAGAATCTCGACACACACACAGGGGTCCCATCCCCTGTGACACTCTGTGCTCTCCTCTCAGCATCTGCAGCATGGCCTGATGTCCCACACCCGAGCTTTCCACATCAGCCCCAGCTCCAGCACAGCTGAGCCCCAAAGCCCCCACCCCAGGGTCCCAGGGCCTGGACAGGCCAGGTTCAGCACTGGTGTGTGGATGGGGGCATGTGGTGGACAGGGTTTATGGGCACTTGTGCTCCTTGTCTTTCCCTCCTCAGATCTGCTTCAGTCCAATCCAGCCCAGTCTCTGCCATAAAACCAGTGAGGAATCACCTCCCCCATGGGTTTATCCTGCCCCATCTGTTCCTGAGTGATGTCAGCACGTGATGAGGACTGGTTTGGATTCGCCTGTTGCAGCTGTAGCTCTCTAAGATCTGGTTGGTATTAACTGGGATGTTGATGGTAATGGAAACCCAGAGGACAGGCCAGGATCAAGGCTGTCCTGCCTGGGCTCACAGGGACAATGAGGGAAAACAACTCCAGGGCCAACAGCTCACTGAGCAGGGAGAGACTGGACCCCAGCTGCCAGCAGCTTCCCTGGGACACTGGGGTGGCACACACTGCCCACAGAATGGATATCCCATCCTGCCTGCCTTAATGGTGGCAAGAAAATCCTGTCATGGCAAACACACAGAGAACCAGAGCCACTCAGTTACAAGCAAGCCTTTAATGAACTATCTTTAAAGGATGTTTTTCCTCAGCTTCAGAACATCAGCTCCGACTGGGAGATGTTGGCAACCTGTGGCAGCTTCCGATAGACTGAGTTCCAGAAAGTCACATACTCGGATCTCAGGTCCTGCTTCACAGATTTCTTGTTCATCTTGCTGTGGATGTCCAGGTAGTACTTGTCCTTGTTGGTGTAGGCTGGCCAGGAAACGGGCACATCCGAATGGCCTTTGTTGGGATCACTGGGGAAAAAGGAGACACAGAGGTTCAGTTTTATCAGGGCAGCTTGGGGATGCAGTTTAAGTGCCTGCACACTCAGAGTGTTGGACACTGGGACAAGCAATAGGAATTCTGCCTGCCATGAGTGATTGATGATCTGCAGTCATCCTCAGCACCAGCATCATCCCTGGCTCCACACACAGACTTGTGTCCTGCCTGAACAGCAGGATTCAGGAATAAACCTCAGCAAGTGTAAACAGAGATTGTGAAAATGCCTCCCCTCCCCAGGTGTGCTATGGAGGAGAGCCCAGAGCAAACTCCAGCACTGGGAAACACAGAGCCCCGTTCTCAACAGAGGACAGACAGGGAAGTTTTGGGAATGATCCTGAAAATTAACTGAGCTAAAGCAACATGAAGCACTGCATCAAACCATAAATCACTCACCCGGTCCTGGCGAAATTGGTCCAGTAAGCAATCATGGCCTTTGAGACAGTCCTGTGCTTGGGCAGGTAGCCCAGGGGGGTGGCAAAAGGCTTCCCAAACACGTACTGCAGGTCATCAGTGTGGTCTGCCCCCACCCAGCTGGGGTACACGGGCATGCGGGACGGCTGGGAGAACACATAGCTGTAGGTCTTGCCACTCCTGGGAAATAAAACAGACTGGATAAGCAAGGAGAGAGCAGAGGAAGGACTGCAGATTCAAACCCACACTCCAAATACCATCAGGGACAGAGATGCAGCCTTGGAAGATGCTCACACATCACCTCACATGAAGTGGTTTCAGGAGAAAACATCCTGAGGTAATCTTTAACTTCCATTTCCAATTCTTACCCTAAGCCTCTTCCCTTTACAATGTCCCCAGGGCTGAGCTGCTCACCGGGCATTCTGCAGGTGCAGGTTGAGTGCCCACTGTGTGGGAACCAGGAAGATGTAGTCAGTGATCAGCTCCACCACTGTCTTCTTCATAACCTCCTGCTTTGGTTTTTCACCCCAGCTCTGGGTGTAGATATCATAGGTGGCATTGGCTCCAGCCTCACCCCTGTCCACAGTGAGGCCTTTGATCAAATCATAGACCTGCTCCCTGAAATGACAAGTGATATTAATTAATWRCTGACCAGMAGCTTCAGGTAGGGCAGGTCCTTTCTCTTGAAGGCTCTGGACCTGGCAACACCAGGCATGGGCACCCAGGCTTGGAGTGACACACGGATTGGAAAGTCACGCCCTGTCCACTCAGATCTAACTCCTTGGGGTTTGGGAGTTACACTGAAGAGAGGATGTCTCCTGTTGAGGGTTCCAAGTGCCTCGGTCACTCACGCAGTGATTTTGACCAGCGGGCGGTTGATGGCRGGTAAATCCACACCAGCAAAGATGTGCCCATCCATGTCATTGACCCCGGCCAAGTAATCGATGTCGGCAGCGTTGGCAAAGAGATTCTCTGGCATGTCTGGGAGGAAATCCCCATCGA